CATTGTATAGTATAAATGTAAATTGTTTTTACTTTTACTGGAAATCAATCATCCTTTTGGCAATATTATCATACATTTTTACTAGATGTAGATTGTAACCAGCTATATTTACTCAGTTACTGTAATTTACCTTTGTAAAAAATATACATTGAGGAGCATATTACTGCACAGGGCTGTTTACTTAAGTATTGGTATTAAGAAGTATCATAACTTGTGGGTATTTTTGGCCCCTTTAATCAATTTGAGAAGCTTAATCAAATAAAAATCAGAGTTGATTAAACAGAAATGTACCAGAGAGATAAACACCCCACAGTATTTTCTTCAATCCAATCCAATCCACTTTATTTATATAGCACGGTTTAAATAAACACGAGGTTTCCAAAGTGCTGCACAAAAAGATAAAATAACTAAAATAAATAAAAGTAATAAAATAAAATAAAAGCACTGCCCGCACAGGATAAAAATATGCATGTGTATACATAAAATCAACATGTGTACATAAAATCATTTTCTTCATCCAGCTGTAGGTATCGATTTAATAAGTTTTAGGTAAAAAGTGTTTCCTTTTGCCTGATTTTCTTTTTAACATTTTTCTAGTTTTTATTTTGTGTATTGTTTTATTGTAGTTCTATAAATAAATACCAGTGTTTGTACATAACTTTGTAGTTCTGTCTCCCATTTTCAGATATTAAATCAGTTGCTATAACTACTAATTTCTCAATTGGCTTCTTTTTAGTTTCGCTTATGTTGAAGTATCGCTACTTTCACTTAGATAAAATTTTTGGCTAGTTCATCCACCTCTCATCTTAAAATAAAATTGTTTTTAAATTGTGAAAATGTTATATTTTCGGCAATTTCTGGATGTCATAGAAAATTTGTTTCGGTCTCTTATTCAATGATAGAAAGTAGAAAAAGCTTGAATGAAACATTAGAAAAGTATGCCATTAACTGGGACAAGGAATAACATGTTTAGAGAGTGTTTCCATTCAGCAGACTAATCAGCAGGATTTATTGCCTTATTAAAAGGCTTAACGGGCTCTCACTTCACCAATCTGACTATGCATTCAAAAACAAGGTTAGTTTTTATTTTCCAGAGACCAGTTATTTATCGTAAATGCAGCTGGTCTTTTTGCTGAACTGACACTAACAGAGGATTGCCCGGGGTGGGTGGGATTAGATCCAATATGGCAATGGATCTTTGAAACACATGATGCTTTTAATCGTTGCTCTGTAGAAGAAAGTCCAGTCTGTTCTAACTTCCTGAGAAAGGATAAGGAAAGAAGGAAAGTAGAAAGGACTTTTTCCAAGTCCTGCAGGTTAAATTCTGGTTTTGATTTGGTTCTTTATAATAATAATAATAATAATAATAATAATAATACATTTTATTTAACAGCGCCTTTCTTGACACTCAAGGTCACTTTACAAATAATACAAAATGACTTGTCATATTCTGTCATTGTCATTTTTGTCCTTCAGAATTTGCCTTATTGACTGTTATCACAATAGTATTATTGCCAGATTTTGCTGATTTATTTCTCCTTTTTCTTAGTGTTTATGTCAATGTTTGGTGGAAGTTGGTTGAGGATCCAATTGCAGATATGAGGACACAGAGATGAGTTCTAGCAGGTTTAATTTAAATTACAATGACAACAGAAGCACAAATTCAGGAACAAAATAAATAATCCAAAAACCAGGAGATGCCAGGGAGAAACACACACAAGGAGCAAAGCAAAGATGCAACAAGAAAACATCAATGAGGAACTGCAGAGATGATGCATATATGGGGAACAGAACAAAGAATGGGCTAATGAGCTGATATGGAGCAGGTGTGGACAGAAGTAACCAGAAGGGAGCCNATTTTCTTCATCCAGCTGTAGGTATCGATTTAATAAGTTTTAGGTAAAAAGTGTTTCCTTTTGCCTGATTTTCTTTTTAACATTTTTCTAGTTTTTATTTTGTGTATTGTTTTATTGTAGTTCTATAAATAAATACCAGTGTTTGTACATAACTTTGTAGTTCTGTCTCCCATTTTCAGATATTAAATCAGTTGCTATAACTACTAATTTCTCAATTGGCTTCTTTTTAGTTTCGCTTATGTTGAAGTATCGCTACTTTCACTTAGATAAAATTTTTGGCTAGTTCATCCACCTCTCATCTTAAAATAAAATTGTTTTTAAATTGTGAAAATGTTATATTTTCGGCAATTTCTGGATGTCATAGAAAATTTGTTTCGGTCTCTTATTCAATGATAGAAAGTAGAAAAAGCTTGAATGAAACATTAGAAAAGTATGCCATTAACTGGGACAAGGAATAACATGTTTAGAGAGTGTTTCCATTCAGCAGACTAATCAGCAGGATTTATTGCCTTATTAAAAGGCTTAACGGGCTCTCACTTCACCAATCTGACTATGCATTCAAAAACAAGGTTAGTTTTTATTTTCCAGAGACCAGTTATTTATCGTAAATGCAGCTGGTCTTTTTGCTGAACTGACACTAACAGAGGATTGCCCGGGGTGGGTGGGATTAGATCCAATATGGCAATGGATCTTTGAAACACATGATGCTTTTAATCATTGCTCTGTAGAGGTTTGTGCGCAGCTGAGAAGAAAGTCCAGTCTGTTCTAACTTCCTGAGAAAAGAAAAGGAAAGAAGGAAAGGAGAAGGACTTTTTCCAAGTCCTTAAATTATGGTTTTGATTTGGTTCTTTATGACTTGTCATATTCTGTCATAGTCATTTTCTTATTGACTGTTATCACAATAGTATTATTGCCAGATTTTGCTGATTTATTTCTCCTTTTTCTTAGTGTTTATGTCAATGTTTGGTGGAGGTTGGTTGAGGATCCAGTTGTAGATATGAGGACACAGAGATGAGTTCTAGCAGGTTTAATTTAAATTACAATGACAACAGAAGCACAAATTCAGGAACAAAATAAATAATCCAAAAACCAGGAGATGCCAGGGAGAAACACACACAAGGAGCAAAGCAAAGATGCAACAAGAAACCATCAATGAGGAACTGCAGAGATGATGCATATATGGGGAACAGAACAAAGAATGGGCTAATGAGCTGATATGGAGCAGGTGTGGACAGAAGTAACCAGAAGGGAGCCAAGGGGAAAGGAAACTGGCATAAGATGGGAAACAGAGAGCAATGAAAAAAATCACAACACTGCTTAAAAACAACTAGAAAAAAACTACAATGACATAAAATGAAACAGAAACGACATAAATTAATAATAATTGACTTAATTATCCTCACACTGCAGAAATTTACCTCTGCATTTAACCCATCCCCTTGGGGAGCAGTGGGCTGCCATTGTGCGGCACCCGGGGAGCAGTGTGGGGTTAAAGGTCTCGCTGAGAGACCAAGAGTGGAGGCTGTGCGGATCGAACCGGGTACTTCCAACTTTCTCAGAGCACATGCACACTGCTCTAACCACCAGGCCAACACTCCCCTAATTAAAATGTAAATGAAAACTCAAAAAGGGCAGGATCATGACAGTTTGTATTTGAGTTTTTCTCAACTATTACTTTTTATTATTGAAGTACTTTTGGAAAGGTTTTCTTGTAGTTTATTCCCTGTTTAATTGTTTGCCATCAGCAGATAATTAGTAGATTCCCTGCACCTTTGCTTCTTCGTTTGCCCGTTACTTAAAGGGGAACACCATTTTTTTACCCCTTGATTTTACGTTATGACATCATTTGAAACTGTTAATTTATTGTTTATGGTACGCCAGCATTCATAACATGTAGGCGAATCACTGTCCCCCAGACATCTGCTGTTATATCATTTATACTTATATTTTTTTTTAAACAAAGCTGAGTGTGTTTGACTCCGCTTTGTGTCATTCATTTATTTAAACTGCAAATTAATACAGAATTGATTTAATGAAAATATAATTAATCATATGGGCTTCAGTTAAATATATTGATTTCAAGTGAATAAAATGATATTATTTCATACATTTCTTCAGATTTTTTGTGCCGGAGCACACCATGAATTAATTTAAACTATCACACATCCATCAAAGTCAAGTAGAGGGTACTAGGCCCCCCTCCAAGTAAACCTTAACCTCTGTTTCTAACTGAGCAACGGCAACTTCTCCCTGTTTTTTTTTTTTTTTACTTCATGTTAATATTATCACAGAAAAAGGTAGATATTATCTGAAAAAAGTGCTACAATTCATTAACAGCACTCTATTTTTCCTAACTGTAAGGGAAGCGCCTTCGTCGGCAGTTACTGCGTCCCCCGTGTATATTGTCTTAGTTTTGTCTTTTCTTGGACGGCCTGCTCTGAAACAAACATTTTCAGCCACTCCAGCTGGGTGATAAAATAGAGTAACCATTGAACCAGTGAAATATAGTATAGTGAGAGCTTGCTGTAGTGTAATGTTAGCCCTGCATGCTGTCTAACACCGGCTTAAACTCCTTCATTAACTTTTTACAAACCAAACTATGGATGTAGAGGCTGGAGTTTCTCATACGGTGTGCTGTGAGTAAATGGCAAAAGCATTTTTAAAAATAATTTCAACTTTTGACAATGCTGACTTTACATTAAAAGAGTGAGAAGCAGTCCATCACAAATCACATGTCAGGGTTCCTATGGAAGAGGCTTTAGTCCCGCCCACTGACTTTGATGGGTAAAGTTGACAGTTTATACGATCATGATAAGTCTACTAAGCAGATTCATTAGAAAAATAACTACCAGGTATAATAATAAAATGTAAATTAAATTACAACTAATTTTGCAATTGAATAAAATGTTAGATTTATTTTTTTTATTTTACATTTCATAGTTTAATGGAAGTTTTATTTTTTAAATAATATATCAAATAATTAAATAAATTGAATCAGTTGATTGTACATTTATTTGCTTTAATTTTACATTTTTTTCCACCTATTTATTTAATGCCATGTTTATATGTTTCATGTGTCTTCTTTAACTCTCCATAAGACTGTGCTATGATAAAGGTGTGTTAAAAATATTTCTTTCTTTGCAGAAATATGTTCCCATCAAATCTGGTGCAGGCTACGTTTCAGCAGGTAAGATATGACAGAGAACATTATTAATTGTGCAGTGATCGTACAAATATTGTAGACTTTAGAATACTTTTGTACCTTAATATTGTTTTATATACATTAATATAGCTGATGCATTAATAATAAAAAGCTTCTTTATTGAGGAATAAAACACAGAGAAGAGACTATTAAAGTCAGACCTTATGACCAAATTAAGCTGGTTCTTTTACTTGTATTTTTTGCTTCATCTTTGTCTTTCATCAACAAAGGATGTTGCTCTGAAATCTAATCTTATTTAGTGCAGACGCTAAAAATAATTTACAAGATCATTAGTGAAGCATTAAATAACGTGTTTTATTGTGAGCAAATATTATTACTGTTATCATTACTCTGGCCCGACTACTA